TGGATGTAGATTGTGGAATGATAGATAATGGAGACTCAGAAGGGTGAGGAAGTGGAAGAGGAGAGGAGGGTGAAAAATTGCGTAATGGGTACAATATACATTATTCCAGTGACAGATACCCTGAAAGCTCTGACTTAACCACTGCGCACTTTATGTAACAAAATTGTATGTGTACCCAATACAGTTGTACAAATAAAAAGGAAAAAAGGCCTGGAAAACTAAGAATTTGGTGTCCTTTATTCAACTGCGGATGTTTTAGAAATAATTACAGGGCAAGCTAAAAGGTACATTTCTTATGGAGTACTTTTCAAATATCTCAAAGTACTTTAAACATAACTTGTATACTAAATTCAAAACAATTTAAGTAACTTTCTCAAGAAAATGTAGAGTTATACTTAAAAAATGAAAGGAAATACATTATAAATCTAAAATAAATACAACACAGTGGGCATGTTAGCAAAATACTAAGAAATATAATTCTATGTATCATGAATTGAGTAGAAGAATGCAAGCCTATTAGGTCTACAAACCAGTTTTCAAATGTCTCTTCCTGGAAGCCTGTCTTGATTTTTTTTAAAGAAGTAATTTCCTCACTGTTTTATTATGAAAATTTTCAAACATACAGAAAAGTTGAAAGAATTACCCTGCAACACTTGTATACTCACCATATATATTCTACAATACTTAACATTTTGCTATTTTTGCCTTACCACTATCTCTTCATCCATCCATCCTTTTTATTTTTTTTGAGTTGGAGTCTCACTCTGTCGCCCAGACTGGAGTGCAGTGGCACGTTCCCAGCCACTGCAGCCTCACCCTGCTGGGCTCCAGAGATCCTTCCGCCTCAGCCTTCCAAGTAGCCGGAACTACAGTCATGTGCTACCATGCCCAGCTAATTTTTTATTTTTTAATTTAGAGACGAGGTCTTGCCAAGTTTCCTGGGCAGGTCTCGACCCGCGGGCTCAGGCAATCCACTCGCCTCAGCCTCCCAAAGTGCTGGGATAACAGGCTGAGCCACCGAGCCCGGTTGATCCTTTTTTTTTACAAATATATTTCAAAAGTTAAGTTGCAAGCATCAGGACACTTCTGTAAACTCTTCTACATGCATTTTATTAACTAGATTTATGACTTCTAAGAAAAAATTTGCATGAAGTGCTGAAATCTTAATTGTATTATTTCATGATTTTTTATTTTAATTTTTATATTTTATTTATTAGAGTCGGTGTCTAACTCTGTAGCCCAGGCTGGAGTACAGTGGCACACTCACAGCCACTGCAGCCTCAACCTGCTGAGCCCAGGCAATCCTGCTTCAGCTTCCCAAGTAGCTGGAACCACAGGCATGCGCCACCACACCTGGCTAATGTAGAGACGTGGTCTCGCCATGTTGCTCAGGCTTGTCTTAAACCCCTGAGCTCAGTCAGTCCTCTCGCCTCTGCCTCTCCCAAAGTGCTGGGATTACAGGTGTGAGCCACTGCACCCAGCACTATTTTATTTATTTTTTTGAGACAATGTGTCTCACTCTGTCGCCCAGGCTGGAATGCAGTGGCGTGTGATCATAGCTCACTGTAACCTCAAATGCCTGGGCTCAAGTGATCCTTCTACTTCAGCTTCCCAGTTAGCTGGGACTACAGGTGTGCGCTACCATGCTTGGCTTTGATTTGGTTGTTTTATAGTTTTTATGTGTCTGTTGTGATTTCCTGTCTGTGCATTTATTTCAAAATCTTTTTTCCTTACATCTTTAAGCATGATTATTGTAGCTTTATCTGCTAATTATTCCAGCACCTAGGTAATTTCAAGTTTGGTCTCCAATCATTGTCTTTTTGAGTGTGTGTCACATTTTCCTGTTTCTTCATATGTCTCATAGTTGTGTTTTGGACACAAAACTGGACTGGACATTGGTAATGATGCATTGTAGATATAGATTCTGTTATGATCCTCTGAGGAATATTGTTTTTGTTTGTCTGCAGGCAGCTAACTTGGTTGAGTCCAACATCAAACTCTCTCCCCTGCAGTGAGTACCTGCAAAAATTTTAGATAGTTTAGCTTTATCTGGACTTCTTGGAATCTGTTTCCAAGCATGTGGAGTTTACTTGTCAGCCAGAAATCTCTGTAGAGTTTATATGGGGACCTGAAGGGGTTGCCTTTTTTTTTCTTTTTTTAAAAGGCAGGTTCTTGCTTTGTCACCCAGGCTGGAGGGCAGTGGCATTCTCCTAGCTCACTGTAGTCTTGAAATCCTGGGCTCAAGCGATCTTTCCACTTCAGCCTTCAATGTAGGTAGGACTACAAATGCATACCACCACTCTAATTTTTATTTTTGTAGAGATGGATCTCACTATATTGCCCAAGCTGATCTTGAACTCCGAGCCTCAAACCATCTTCCTGCCTCAACTCCCGGAAGTGCTGGCATTACAGACATTGAGCCATTACATCCAGCCTTTGAGGCTGTTTTTCTTTAAAGAATTTTTCTTCAATTTCTGGCTGATATAGTACCTGAAACGCCATGCTTTGGGTTCCTCAAGCCAGTACAACTGCGGGTTGCTGCCCAGGTTTTGCCAACCCAGCACTAACTGAAGCCTGCCCTTGACAAAAAACTGGTTAAAAAATTTTAAAAAGGGGTCAGTTAACTCTCTCAGCTAGTGCTATTACTAGGTTTGACTTCCAGTAATTTGCATCTGCTGTTTTTCAGTGTCTTCAAATAGTTTCTGCTCTTGTTTTGTCCAGTTTTTATAATTCTCATTTGTGGGATGGTAGGTTAAATATAGCTACCCTGGCTCAGTGGCTCAGCCTGTAATCCCAGCACTTTGGGAGGCCGAGGTGAGTGGATTGCCTGAGCCCACGGGTTCAAGACTCACTCGGGCAACTTGGCGAGACCTCATCTCTACAATAAATCAAAAATTAGCCGGGTGTGGTAGTGCGCGCCTGTAGTTCCAGCTACTTGGAAAGGCTGAGGCGAAAGGATCGCCAGAGCCCAGCAGGTCGAGGCTGCGGTGGCTGGGAGCGTGCCACTGCACTGCAGTCTGGGTGACAGAGTGCGACCCCAACTCAAAAAAAAAAAAAAAAAAAAAAAAAAATATATATATATATATATATATAGACACACACACACACACACACACTCCACCATTAGTGAGAATTGAGCATTTTCTTTTGTTTTTAAACAACCAAACAAAAGCTACCTAAAACTCTTTTTTGGAGAAGAGAATGAGGAAAGATGACTTCAAACAATGCCTTTTCTAGACACCAGGATCATACATATCATTGATATTCTATATCTGCTATTAAAAATTGGAAATAAAAAGGCAACATGATATGAGGAAAGCTGAGTGTAAGTTTCAAGAGACCTAAACTGTAGTCTCAGCTCTTGCATTAACCAAATGTTTTCCTGTGATCTCAAGGTAAATTTACTTTTTATTTTCTTTAAAAACTTTGGAAATAAATGTCTCTGTTCATTTATATTTTAAGTTTTATCATTATCTTCATATGACTTTGCCTAGACCATCTAGAAATTGCTTTATGGGAAGTAGTTTTATGTTAATGTTAGATGCAACTTATGTTGAATTTGAATTATGAAAATAGGAAAAAAAGCTCAATAAAAAATGAAAAACAATACTTAATGGAAAATAGAGACTACTTTTTAAGGCAAAAAAGTACTACAGTACTACAGTGTGCTAAGTGCTTACAGACTTACTTTTCCAAAAGGTATATATACACACACATTTGGACACTACTAATATCAATAAAATGTATCTCTGTATAATTAACTCAGTTTTTAGAACTACATTACTTGATTCTCATCAAAGGTTAGCAGAAAGTGTATGGCAGTTTGTTTTTAGATTTTTTTGGTCCTATGGAGCCTGTGAATTTATGAGATTTGTTAAGATCTTCAGACATTGTTCTGGCGGGGTGCTGCTAATAACACATCTGCTACTTGTAATATTGTGTCTCATCATCACCCCGTAGTAAAATAATGCATTGCCCACCAACTGTACTCAGTTTTCAAGGCACAGAGCAACAAGCCACAAAGGCGCACCTGTTTAACCAGCTGTTGTTGAGTAATGACGAAACTATTAAATACATCACACCTGGACCATCCCTGGATAATAAATTTACTCTAATTGAGATCTGCACTTTGAGTTGTTTTTTCATTAGCAAGTATGCACTTGCATAGACCTCCTTTCAGTCTTTTTTTTGTTTGGTGGCATGTATTTATGAGAAAAAAAATTCTACATACTGAAATGTTTTAGAACCTGACAAATTTCACATGTACATAATTCTTTTTTTTGAGTTGGAGTCTCACTCTGTCACCCAGGCTGCAGTGCAGTGGCATGCTCACAGCCACCACAGCCTCTGCCTGCTGGGCTCGGGCGATCCTTCCGCCTCAGCCTTCCAAGTAGCTGGAGGTCCAGGCGTGTGCCATCACGCCTGGCTGATTTTTTTATTTATTGTAGAGATGAGGTCTCACCAAGTTGCCTAGGCTGGTCTCAAACTCCTGAGCTTGGGCAATCCTCTTGCCTCAGCCTCCCAAAATGCTGAGATTACAGGCTTGAGCCATCACACCCGGACTTCGTAATTCTTTATGCTTTAATTTTTGCTGTTTGTTGTGCTGTTTTTTTTCTAACAACTTATTCTATGAACTCAAAAGGAGTTTTAACTACTAACATAAGTTTCATCAAACATAAAAACATTAAGAATCTTTTTTGCATAAACTTTAATGTGGGTATTTTTAGCACTTTTTTTGAGATTAGAGACTTAAATTTAGTGATTATATTTTCATTTCTAGAAATTCTGTTTGACTTTCCAAATATGTCTGGTCATTTAAAATAATATATTCTTCATTCTGTATCTGACGACTCCCTTTGTGAAGTTGTTGAAGGTCTAGATTCTGTTATTTTTGCTTATCTCATTCATGGTAGCTTTTTCCCTGTGTTTTATCATTTTGGATTGAAATCTCATGTGATCTCTTTGTTACCTTCTCTATGGTATAAGTAGATTTTTTTTTTAATAGCAAATAGTTTATTGTTAAGTACATGGTTTCAGTGGTAGTAATAAGTTTAATAGGAGACAATAATCAAGTCAAAAGAACAAATGCTTATTAATCATCAGAAAATCTTTGGCCATTAGGGCTGTCACATAAAAATCCAAAATCACTGAGAGGCCGAATCTTAAAGAAGATTTGTCCTCTTGTCAGTTCATATGGAATAGCTCCATAGTACCTGGAATCTGTGGAATTCTGCCAATTATCACCTTCTAACCAAACATGACCAGTTGGCACATAGCGATGACTTTTAAAGAAATCTGATGGCCGATCAGTGAGGATTCTGTCTCCTTCCAAGCCAACTACTCTTTTACAAATATTTGATTTTGGATCACTTGGGCTTTTTGCAATCACAATGTTACCTCTTTGAATACCATAAAAATATCTACTGAGATTTTCTGCAAAGGCAATATCTAATTTTGAGTTGTAGGCTCCGTCGATGATCCAGAACACATGATGTACCACTAATATATACAAAAGCACAACGAGCTGTGCAGCCATACTGAATGGTGTAGCCAACGAGTTAGAAGGTTTTCCCCAGAACACTATGAAGCATAGTTCTGTGTGGACTTTGCTCCCATTGGCCTTAGGTCTGTTCTATAATACATTCAAGTTTTAGGGAAGTTGCAGGGCTTCCACCAAAAAAAAAAATCGAAGCATACCTCAGAGCACATGTGGGTGATCCATGATTTCAGGAATCTTTCTAGTTAATCCAACGTGAATGGAGACACTCAAGACCAGAAGAGCATTAGGCAATATCAGAAGACCCACCTCTGGTCCCAGGGAACCCTGGAGACCCTCATTCGGTACTCAGGTGGGCTTTTCTCGTAAGTAGATTTTTGACTTGTTTATTTGGGGAGGAGAAAGCTCTCTGAAGTTTGCAGCTTCACACACGAATCTCCATTTCCTCTCTGGCTTATGTGGGCCTCAGGCATCGTCTTCTGTCTTATGTGATCAATAAAATTCACTGATTTTTCAACTCCCTCTTTATTCTTGGCCCCCTTGATTTTGTGTGAGCTTAGCCTTTATTTAAAAGGATGTGAATCTATAGAATTTGAATTATGTATTTATTCAATTAACTTTTCTTTTGAGTCTGTGTCTCACTTTGTCTTCCAGCCTGGAGTATAATGGCATGCTCATAGTTCCCTGCAGCTTCAGACTCCTGGGTTCAAGCAGTCCTCCTGCCTCAACTTCCCAATGTGCTAGAATTGCAGGCATGAGCCATTGCACACAGCTCAACATTTTAAAATGGCTTTTAAGGTGCTGTGGCTCACACCTGTAATCCCAGCACTTTGGGAGGCCAAGGCAGGCAGATTGCTTACATCCAGAAGTTTGAGACCAGCCTGGACAACATAGCGAAATCTCAGTTCTACAAAAAATAAATTAGTTGGGAGTGGCGGCATACTCCTGTAGTCCTGGCTACTTGGAATGCTGAGGTGGAAGGATTGCCTGAGACCAATAGGTGGAGGCTACCATGAGCCATGATTGTCATGATCATGCCATTGCATTCCAGCCTGGGCAGAGTGAGACCTAAACTTAAAAAAAAAAAAAAAATCTTTTAAGAGATTTTTTAGGATTTTTTGTCCACCATGTTTTTAGAAACTAAGGTCCCTATCCTTATCTACATTAACTCAAGTAGTATTATTAAAGTCATTCTGGATGGGGTGTGGTGGCTCATGCCTATATTCTCAGTACTTTGGGAAGCCAAGGTGAAAGGATTGCTTGAGCCCAGCAAGTTTGAGACCAGTCTGGGCAACACAGTGAGATCCTATCCCTACAAAAAAATCAAAAAATTAGCTAGCCATGATGGTGAGTGTCTATATTCCCAGGTATTCAGAAGGTTAAGAGAGAAGGATCGCCTGAACCCAGGAGGTCAGGGCTATGGCGAGCAGTGCTTTTGCCACTGTACTCCAGTCTGGGTGACATAGTGAGACCCCAAAACAAAACAAAAAGCAAAACTAATTATAATACCAAGCCACTATGAAAAGTACATTAGTGGTGTTTTATATGTATTTACCTTAAAGGGCACTTGGAATTTAATTGTTACTTTCATTTTTTTGTTTACTTTTTGAGTCGGAGTCTCATTCTGTCTCCCAGGCTTGAGTACAGTGGCACACTCATGGCCACTGTAGCTTCGACTTGCTGGATTCAGGTGATCCTTCCGCCTCAGTCTTCCAAATAGCTGGAACCACAGGTAGGCGCCACAATGCCTGGCTGATTTTTTGATTTATTGTAGAGATAAGGTCTCACTGTGTTGCTCAGGCTGGTCTCGAACCCCTGAGTTCAGGCAATCTTCTCGCCTCTGCCTCCCAAAGTGCTGGGATTACAGGTGTGAGCCACTGGGCCCAGCTTGTTACTTTCATTTTAAATACTGTTTCCAAAATACTGTCATATAGTTGCTAAGGGTATTATGTTTATCATAATTATTAATTTGTTTTTAATAAAAGTTTCTGGGTGAAACTTTTGATAGATTACGCCTCATAGCAAAAAAAGGCTCTGGTGATCCTTCTGCCTCAGCCTTCCAAGCAGCTGGAACTACAAGTGCGCACTACCATGCCCGGCTAATTTTTTATTTATTGTAGAGATGAGGTCTTGCCAAGTTGCTCGGGCTGGTCTTGAACCCACAAGCTCAGGCAATCCTCTCGCCTCGGCCTCCTAAAGTGCTGGGTTTACAGGCTGAGCCACTGAGCTCAGCCTGAGGAAGAACCATTTAACTGAAAAGTTTTTTGTGATGATTTGAATTATTTTGTGCAGTTTAAATATTAAATTAGGATTTTAAAAGCTGTGAAATAAAATGAAAAAAAAAAGTATGGAAAGTAACTAGTCACAATGGAAGGAGTGTGTGACCAAACCAGGTGTGGTAACTGGGTCTTTCCATTTACCATGAAGTACATCAGAATTTCCCACTCAGTTTGATCATAGGCAGTGAGAGTGACATTACTCATATTTAATTGGAATTGACTAAGGGTACTATTGTCGTCATTTCTTTTGAAAGATGAAATAGGAGAGAGGGCTGGGCATAGTGGCTCACACCTGTAATCCTAGCATTTTGGGAGGAGGATTGCTTGAGGTTAGGAGTTTCAGAACAGCCTGGTTAACATAGTGAGAACTTGTCTCTATTTTTAAAAAAAAATTGGAGAGAGGACAACCGGATTCTTAAATTACTTATCATTTATTATTAGTTATTTCCTGAAACTACCCATAGACACTCCCTATCCTCCCCTCTTTTTCACTACTGTGCTCTAGCTCTTAAGATGATCTTTTTTATTTGAGTTGGAGTCTCACTCTGTTGCCCAGACTGGAGTGCAGTGGCCAGGAGCGGGCTCCTGCTGGGCTCCAGCGATCCTTCCGTCTCAGCCTTCCAAGTAGCTGGAACTACAGGCATGCGCTACCACACCCGGCTAAATTTTGATTTATTGTAGAGATGAGGTCTCGCCAAGTTGCCCAGACGGGTCTCGAACCCGCAGGATCAGGCAATCCACTCACCTCGGCCTCTAGCCCATAGTGCTGGAATTACAGGCTGAGCCACCGAGCCTGGCCAAGATGATCTTTGCTTAGCATTTAGATAATTATCCTATAGATTGAGGGAGAAAAGGGCAAAATATTTGCATGAAACTGATTATGAAAATGCCTAAACTCCCAGGGAACAATAAGGGGAAATTCTGTCTGCAGTTGCTTTACTTCTCAAGTGACTGATCAGGAATGCAAATTAAAATCAAATCTGTATAGATTTGATGGACTGTTTGTTATTGTTAAATTCCTAGGTTCATGTTTCAGTATCAGATGTGGAAAAAAGGATGGAACCTGGTTTATGTGAGTCTACTAAATTAGTCTCCTAAATGAAAAATCAGAAAAAAAATCTGTTTGTGTAGCTCACTCAAGGCATTTTCCTGTTTACACACTTGACCTTCAACAGTCTGTTGTTAGTAATTGTTTTCCTCAAGATCTGTGGGGTTATGTAACTTTAGGTTGTAGCAGAGAAAAAGTAATATTTTTTTTCCTCACCCATTGCAAGGTTCATGGCAGCAGAGTGAGACTCCAACTCAAAAAAAAAAAAAAATGAAATGAAGACCAAAGACCCAGGAAAAACTGTGTATTTTTTATACTTAGATTTGATGAGTAAAGGATAGTTGTATGATTGGACAAAAAAAGATACGATCCTATAGTAAAAAACTAGGGGTAACTTAGCATGGCCTCTTTGTCAGACTCTTCTTGGCCTCTCTGTGTAAGATTCCTTCCCCCTAAGGACAGGATAGGACACCTGTCACTTGAGGACTTGAGGATTTTCAAGAGAAGTGGTCAGAGAAACCTTTTTGCTTTTAAGCTTTTCTCAGTTTCCTTCAGCTTTTAAAATATTTAGTATGCCGAAGTGCCATATTTTGAGGTATTGTAGTCTGAGCCCTGACAAGATCATTTATGGTAGGACTTTTACTAGAATTGATTTCTTTTTTTTTTTTTTTGAGTTGGAGTCTCACTCTGTCACCCAGACTGGAGTGCAGTGGCCGCTCCCGGCCACCACAGTCTCGACCTGCTGGGCTCCGGCGATCCTTCCGTCTCAGCTTCAAGTAGTTGGAACTACAGGAGCGCGCTACCACGCCCGGCTAATTTTTTGATTTGTTGTAGAGATGAGGTCTCGTCAAGTTGCCCAGGCGGGTCTTGAACCCGCGGGCTCAGGCAATCCACTCACCTTGGCCTCCCAAAGTGCTGGGATTACAGGCTGAGCCACTGAGCCCGGCCTCTATTCATTCTTAAAGCCATTTTCGATTTACAGGATGCTGACTACTATCAAACCCCAGTCAATGAAGAAACACACTGATCACAATACAGTCACCAAATAAAGTCATTCAGTTTATAGTACCAATTAATTGAGAAAGGGTAAACATATAGGTCGGTATAATAGAATGTAGAGTTCCAGAATTAAACTGACAGTTATATAATCAATTTATTTTTAACAAAGAAGACTCAGTGGGGAAGGGATAGGACAAAGCCCCAAGAAATTGGGCTGGCACAATTAGACATCTTTCTGTGTGGAAGGGAAAAAAAGAACCTGAGCTATACCTTAAACCACATACAAAAATTGACTCAAAATACATCATTAGGCCAGGCAAGGTGGCTCATGCCTTGGCAAACGAAGCCACGAGGATCGCATGAGGCCAGGAATTCAAGACCTGGGCAACATAGGAAGACCCCATCTCTACAAAAAATTTTTTAAAAAAAAATTAGCTCGACATTGTCACACATGCCTATAGTCCCAACAACTTGGGAGGCTAAGATGGAAGGGTCACTTGAGCCCAGGAGATTGAGGGTGCAACAAGCTATGATCGTGCCAGTGCAATCCAGCCTGAGTGACAGAGCAAGACCCTAAAACACCAAAAGCCAGAGGCAGTGGTTCATGCCTGTAATCCCAACACTTTGGGAGGTGGAGGCGAGAGGATCGCCTGAGCCCAAGGTTTTTTTTTTTTTTGAGTTGGAGTCTCACTCTGTCACCCAGACTGGAGTGCAGTGG